AACGCTGGAATATCTTTCGTACGGTATTCAATTATTCGCGGGAAAGTTGCTCGGAAATTACGTTGAATTGTTACGTTGAATAGTTATTCCGGCGCAGTGTACAACATGTTCCGAAGTAAAGTTAATTTTAAATTAATCGTTTCTAACGAATTCCGAGGACAGCGCTTTTTACACGGTATTAAAATACATTCCCAGTAGCTATAAATAATTTACAATGTATATTGCTGTCAGTTTTAATAACGCCGTTCATTAATCTTTTGCTATCGCAATCGGCGCCGCAGTTTTATTTTTAACGGATTTCAAGAACACAGCGACTTTTAGAAAGTATTCAAATAAATTCGCAACACATACAAACAGTTTACGATATATTAGTACGAGTTTTAATAACATCGGTCATTAATCTTATACTTTCGCAATCAGCGCTGCAAGTTTATTTCTAATGAATCGCAAGGATACTGCTTTCAAAAATGATTAAAATAAATTCTCGACATCTATAAATAATTTACAATATATTGCTGTGATGTTTGATAACAGCGTTCATTAATCTTTTGATTTTGCAATCGGTGCTGCAATTTTATTTTCAACGAATTTCAAGAATTTAGAAAGCCTTTCAGAAAGTATTCAAATAAATTGTATAAATAATTTACAATATATTACTGCGAGTTTTAATAACATCGATTATTAATCTTTTACTTTCGCGATCAGCGCTGCAAGTTTATTTCTAATAAATTTGTAAAAATACTGCTTTCAAAAATCATTAAAATAAATTCCCGACATCTATAAATAATTTACAATATATCGCTTTGATGTTTGATAACAGCGTTCATTAATCTTTTGATTTTGCAATCGGTGCTGCAATTTTATTTTCAACGAATTTCAAGAATTTAGAAAGTATTAAAATAAATTGTATAAATAATGTATAATATATTACTGCGAGTTTTAATAATAAAATTGTATCAAAAGAAATTCCCAGAAATTGTATAAATTGCAAGCAATTTTAATCAATTGTATTAAAATAAGTTCTCCCTTGCAATAAATAATATACAACGTATTTCTATAAATTTCACTAACGGCGTTCGTTAACATTTCATCTTCCGTGATCGTCGCTTGGGCCCATTCATTTGTCACGTTTCCAAGATACTGTTTATCCGAACTTGTTTTATTAGAATCTCGTTGCCGGTATCGTTCTTGCCATTCTCCCTGACAGCATGTTACCGCGATCGCAGTCCCCGCGGCGCGTGTGACAAATACGACGTTATTAATATTATTATTCTGATGAATCATCCGTGACATTGGTCTACCCCGTGGAAAGTAGCTTTCGATGTAGAGCCCGCAGTTGGCTCCAGCTGATCGAGATAATAGCTCCCCCTCGATCACAAATCACATCACGCTCGCCGCCATGTGCGTTGCTCCGTGTGACCCATCGCGTGTGGTATTAATTTCTCTCGTCGAAAGGATGATCGGAGCAGAGAGTAGGACTTGGAAACGCCGCGGAAAGATGGGAAATCATGGCACGATACTTCAAAGAGGAGTGTCTTGTTGCGGCGAGTCACGATCAAGTTGTTTGATCTATTCTTGACTTACGGTGCCACACGATCGCGGCGATACGAAGAGATACGTACGAGAGATAGGAGACACGGCGGCTGATCCTTAATTAGATATTAATAAGGGGCGGGGCTCGAAACGCGGCGATGAAAACTTGCTGTGTTCAAATGAAAATTAATAACTACAACTTCGTGTATAACACAAATTATGTTCATCGATTGCCGTGTACATCAGTCGAATAGATCTTTCTACTCTTCTTTCTATCATTTCAGCAAGGATATATCATTTCATACATGGATATTTTACAAATCTTGTAATATTTTTTAATATACTTTAAATATATTTTGGTATATTTTAATATATTTTTAATATATTTTGGTATATTTTAATATATTTTAATGTATTTTAATATATTTTAATGTATTTTAAACATATATCGATATATTTTAATGTATTTTAAACATATTTCTATTTCTTTTAATATATTTTAAATATATTTTGGTATATTTTAACATGTTTTAATATATTTTAATATATTTTAATATATGTTAACATGT